TGTAAACAAATGAGAAGTGATGAAACTATAAGTACTCACATTTAAAGATTTTGTGGGTTAGGGCGGTATTGCACCAGACCCCTCAAATATATAGTATCTAAGTTAAAAAAAACTAAAACAAACAATAAGGAAATGATCAATTTAAAACTTAATGTTTCAACTTTTTTCTGCTTTTAAAGTAATTAAGGATAAATAAATCACTTTACAATTTTAGTTTTAAGTAAACACATATAATACAATATTTAAAAATATTATTTAAATCAAGTTAATCTGAATCATAAGAAAAACAGATAATACTCTTGAATATTTCCTACACGCACCACAATTAATTCGCACAACCTTACTTTGAAAATGCGCGCCAGAACGCAACAGCTGCGCTATCTGCACCTGGTCCGGGACTAAGGAAACAAACTTAGTCCCCCGCCTATTAACATTGAGTGAACCGGCCCTGAACGTATACTAAATACCTATACCTACCCATTTAGATAGAACCAGGATAGAACCAGTTGGAATAATTGCTGTTATGATGCTAGTATTGGTTAGGAGGTGTTCGCAAGATCGATTTAACAATGAAATTAAGAAGTTATAGGCGAGGAACATGATCATGCGTAATATTTTATGTATAAACATCGATAATTAATCGCCAGGTGCACTATTATCAGGAGTATAAGTTGTGATATAAGTTGATGGTTGTGATATTAATACCTGCTTCGCAAGACGTTTTAGACATACACCCCTGCAGTAATAAGCAACAATGGCATCTTTGAAAACAATTTCTTTTTTCAAAATTCCTTTTAGAAATGGGAGGTGCTCATTTTTGCAAATTAAACGAGACTGCCATTCTACCACAGTCCAGAAAAAGTTTTACGATATTGTAATTGCTGGAGGAGGAATGGTTGGCACAACTTTGGCTTGTAAAATTGGCATGTTGGAAAAACTTTCAGATAAGACTGTTCTTTTACTAGAAGGTAGTCCTGAGAAGGAATGGATATTTGATAACCGTTACAGTAATAGGGTGTCAGCCATAAACCCAAGTACCAAAAATTTAATGGAATCCATTGATGTTTGGAAACATATAACAGAAAGAAGATTCAAAGTGGTAAAAAAAATGCAAGTTTGGGATGCCATTTCTGATGCAATGATTACATTCACTTCAGATGAGAAGTTCAGTGACATTGCTTACATTGTAGAAAATGATTTAATTCTTGCTTCAGTTACCAAACAGTTAAAACATTTAAATAATGTTTCCATACAGTATGGTGCTAAAGTTAAAAACTGTGTATTACCTCAAAGTGGAAGTTCTGAACAAGTGAGTGTAGAATTGGAAGATGGAACTGAATTAAAATGTTCTTTACTTGTTGGAGCAGATGGTGCAAGCTCACTGGTGCGTAAAACAATGGGAGTGCAGTATTTGTCATGGAATTATCATCAGATGGGTATTGTGGCAACACTACGTTTATCTGAACCTACAGACAATGTTGTTGCATGGCAAAGGTTTCTTCCATCTGGTCCCATTGCCTTGCTTCCTTTAAATGATGAATTGAGTTCATTAGTGTGGAGTACTGGTACAGAAGAAGCAAAAGCAATTCTTAAGTTGTCTGATGAAGAATTTGTTGATACTCTTAATGAAGCTTTATGGAAACAATATCCGAGTGATAATATAGTTAATTCAGCTACTAAACATTTCAACTCTGTTCTGGAGTTTCTGACATTAACATCTAATGCTGTTCGTCAACTGCAACCTAGTATTGTCTCTGTAGAAAGTAAAAGTCGGGCTGCATTTCCTCTTGGATTCGGTCATTCAACCAAATATGTTGCTCCAGGAGTGGCTCTAATCGGAGATGCAGCTCACAGAGTGCATCCACTAGCTGGACAGGGAGTGAATCTTGGCTTTGGAGATGTTGTGGCTCTTACTAATCAGCTAGTGGATGCTGTTAGTGAGGGGAATTGTGTTAGTAACATCAACTATCTTTTGCGGTATGAAACTCTCAGACAGAGACATAATGTTCCCACAATGTTAGTTATTGATGGTTTACAAAAGTTGTATGGGACCACCATTACTCCACTTGTAGTATTACGTAGTTTAGGGTTGCAACTCATCCATTCAGTACCACCAGTTAAAAGAGCTATTTTAAATCATGCTTCAGTGTGAATCCCCCCCATTAGTTATCATATAATTGAATTGTATCTGCTGTGTTTAAATGTTTTCTGTTTGAATGCAAATGTATATAACTGTAAATCAGAAAGTTATTTCAAACTACAAAAATGTTAATAAAATGTTTTTATAATAGTTTGATTATATTTATATATGATTTGCCTTATAATTCATACAATTCTTTGAAGTTTTCAAGTCATTCAACTCTGAAATTACCAAAATGTTGATGTTATGGGATAACAAATTTCATCAAGAATTATACTGTGTTTCTTTAATATCTACAAATTTCACGTAGTGATTATACAGGTATCTTGTGGCAAACTGGGTATTAAAAAATATGGAGTATTTAATCAGCTATTATCTGTAAGTTTAATCAGTTTCATTACATGTATGAAGCTCTGACATTGAGAGTATTGTGAAAAATTTGGTACAGTAAGCCTTGACCCTTGAGGGTGATGCTCCAGCAAATTCTTCCTAACTTAAAAATTGAGATCCACCTACATAAAAAATAACTTATCAAAATGAAGAGGATGCAATGATATGTCATTTTTACTTTCTCACTTAAAAGTTTTTGTTGTGCAATTTTTCTTTTGCTTGACATCAGTAGATAGTGTTAAAAAAATCAGATGAAACTTTATGTATAGTTTTACCTAGGAATTTAATAAAACAATATGGGAATTTTATTAAAATTGTTTAAAAAATTGATTATTTTTAGATAAAAAATAGCGTTCCAAAACGATCCAATTTTTTTCCATGTTATATCGTGTTGAATCTGAAAATATAATTATTTGTATGGTTTCCAAACTTTTGATGGCAAAGAACGGCCCACATCCAAAACGTACTTTGTTGATATGAATGTGATAATGTAAATACATGTACTGCTTTAGCGGAGTGTAAAGTAACGATCAAGACAGTTCATACACTTCTCAATAGAATCTCCCACTTGCTAAACCTTGTTCATATTTTACATTTCTAATATAATCACTGTAGAAATAGTGTACAATCTGATTACTGGAGAGGATATAAAATTATCTTTATTAAGGACAATAACTTCAACAGGTATAAACAAAATTACTGCAATTTTATTGCCTTTCAGAAAACTATCTACATTGATTCTCATTGCGTTGATAGCGCAATGGCAGTAATTACAAAGATGAATAGATCTTTATACAAAAATGAATGAAAAATTAAATACTTGAAATCGTATGAAAATGGCCACTTCACAATACAGCAAAATTACTTATCCAAGATCTATAATTTCTCAACATACCACTGATATCCAAATTTCTTCTATAACAATTGTGACTTCAAGAACCACTCTGGCAGACGAAAATTTCACTTTTCAAAATAAGGATAATATAGTAAATATTAACAGGTAATAAATGAAATTAACTGCCTCATCTTTACATTCATTAACATATCAACAAATTACAACTTATGTGAAGATGACAATTGGTTGCAAAACAATATTTTTAATCTTATAATGCCAAATTTGAAAATTCATCAGCCAATGTGTTGCATATAACTGAAGTCACATTCATTCATAAACCCGAGTAAGTTTAGAACTTGCTAATACTTAATTGGCACAGCCATGGACAAACATCCTCCTGCACATGGTAAAAATACTGACATACAAATTAGATACAGACGAGTTGTTTTCTTTTTGCAATGAAATTATTCAACAGCAGACATGGAAAGAATTTCTGGTATCACTCGCATAAAACATTCATATCTTGATTTCATTTCATTCAACATGCAGTGTAGGCACTTAGCACTCGTTATGAAATGCAACATTTTCTGCATGATCTTTTCATGTACATCACAGACAACAATGTAAAGCACAGCTCCATATTTCCAATACCTTTTTATGAGTTCTTTATCACTTTCATTACAGAAACAAACAATCTATTGTATGAAAGCAGCAACCATTTAAATTAAAATACTCAAGTTTTACTCTTCCAGTGGCCTCCGTGTTCTATGGAATTCCAACTTAAAATAAGGAACTATTTGAAAATATAAAAGAAAAAAAAAAAACACCTTTTTGAAAATTAGTGAAAATAAAATATACTTGATAAGTACATAGCTGCATTAGACAGTAAACAGTAAATTCTCATTACATTTAAACCATAATATACTTTACCATATTATGACAAAGTAAAGTTCATGAAAACAAAAAGGCAGGGTGGGGTAAGAAGAACATTATTTTGTACTGTACAGCATTTGTATGAACTGCAATCTAAGTATTTGTAGAATATAAAATGAGGAAAATGCACACATTCATGACATGCCATAATTTTTCCTGTGAGGATATGTACATTGAACAAATAATTAGATTCAATTAAGTTTTGAGGAGTTTTGTTAAAAAAAACAGCTCAAAATTAAGTAAAAAGTCTCTCACAGCAATAAGTACATAAACACATTCAAAACATTAACACAATTGTGTGACAGTTGTAGGGGGGTTAAAACCAAACAAACAAAAAAGTCAATAAAAAATCACAATAAATTAATCACTTAAAAGAACAAACCCCACCCATTCGCTGGACTGCATTTCAGTGTCTTTCTTTTTTTTTTTTTTAAAAAAATCATACAAAAAACCTGTATGAAAACACTATTCTGCATATGGATACACTTCAGAGTGAAAATGCATGAACAATGAAAAGAAATATCAAAATAAAATAAACTGTTGGTGACTGGCAGGATATTTTCTGCTTGAACACAACCTGATGTCTGAAGTTCACAGCCCCAGAACACTGGCAAGGACACAATTGTGGAACAACAAATACTTTTAAAGAAGACCAGCATCCTTTGCCATTCCATAGAACACTGAACTCTTTCTCTGAAGAAGAGCATCTGGGGTGTCATATTCCACCACATTTCCTCTATCAAGAACTATGACTCTGAAGACAAACAAAAAACAGTATTAGCTCAAGTTCAATTGACTCTGCGGATAATACATTTTTAACATTCTATATATAGTGACAAATAATAAATAATGTACCTATTTGAGTCCATTATTGTATTGAGACGATGTGCAATAGTAAGAACAGTACACTCACTAAATTCTGTTCGTATTGTCCTCTGAAAAAGTAACCACACAATAATAAATAATTACATATTTACTTTAATGCCAGGCACATACGTTTTTAAATAAATTTTTTTTATAATTTTTAGTTCTGGTTTATCTTTATTGATGGTAGATGTTATTTTTACTAGTAGATTCAGCACATCTAGAATGTAGCAAAGCATACCTTATCCTAAGTCTCCAATGAACATATCTGATAGTATAATTTGCAATAACATACTGGAATACAGTGACGGTGTGAGAGGTATTACAGATCTATACTCCTCTTAATAATTGAAAGAAGTCACGAAATTCTCCCATGTTGGGTAGTGCTCACTGCATGGCAGAGGACAAAGTTGTAAATTTCTCTCAATTTTTTGAAAGATGAACAAGGCTTGTACATCTATTGACATTTGTTGGTTTTCAGTTTAAAAAATTTGACACTAATATTTTTTTTTAATAAGAACACATTTATTGCATCCAATTCACAACTTTCTTAAGAAGTTTGTTCATCAATGCTATCTTCACTCAACCCTGCCCTCTGGGAACTGGCCAACTACATGTGGAAGTGCATGAGAAGTCTGAAAGTGGTTTGAAGGTCATTCAAATGTTCTTTGGTCTAAAGGCCACAATCTCCTCAGCAAGTCTTTGAATGTCGACTAACATCAGAGAGCTACCTTCCCACTCTCTGCTCAGAGGTCACAGCTAATGGTTAGCCATTAACTTTAATATTGTGACTGTCAGGTGCCAACTCACAGTGAACTACCAGGCCCACAACATGTACTTTTATTATTGTTCGTTACATAATTTGCAGTTTAAAGAAAAAGCAATGCTATTGTGTCTGACAAGAATAAACATACAAATGAAATTTAAGCTTATTACAGACAACTAACGAGCTACAATTACATAGAGAGGGCAAATGTGTACAGATACAGCCCTCCTGGATAAAGCTTTTTTCACTTATGGCCCCCATATTTTCTAAAGGCAAGGCCAATTCATAGTTGTTTTTTATAATGAAAATTCCTTAAGAGATTCCGGGCTACATTCAGTCTATCCTTAAGGAATAAGGAAATGTTTAAGCAATAAGGAGTTCCTCGAACTGAGGTCATTTAAGGAGGCTTGTATTTCATAGACATATCTTATTGGAGACGAATTTTCGAAAAATGAAGCTTTCAATTGAAATGATATCAGCACCATTCTCCTAAAAGTCCTTCACACTATCCAACAACAAAATTTAATCATGCCATTTTTTGAAAATTTTGAAGTCTCAGGGGCTTTATGTAAAGTACTCCCCAAAATTACAATATCGACTTCGAATTCACACGGCTGCAACAACAGCCAGATTGATTGGGAAATATAAATTTTGGAGAAAATCAGCTGAATGGTTTATCCGCTAGCATTGTTCACAAGTGAAGAAAAGTTTTGGCAATTGATTTTTCGGCACAAAGGACCCAGAAAACATGCATTCTCGCTATACCATGTGTTAGAGGGTGTGTGGTGTTTTTTTTTTTTTTTTTTTTTTTTTTTTTTTTTTTTTTAAATTGAGCAAGTGGATTTATTTACTTTTTCGTTACCCGGGCCCCACAAAGTTTTTCTACCTTGCCTCTTTTTCTCACAGCATTACATAACTTTCTCTTCTTAAGAAGTACCTAATTAAAGTCCGGTAGTAGTATGTAAAAGTAGAATATGTGTAATGTAATATGTAATATATATTTTTGTCAATAATTTGTAAATTTTATTTTCATATTTGTATGTTTTTAATAATGTATTAATGTTTAAAAGTTTTAAATGTGATTTTGTTCCTTTAATCAGGGAGTAGAATCCCATCACGATCAGGTTTTGCTTGCAGTTTCCCCTGATCCATAGAGCAAATGCTGAGATGGGCTGCTTGTGATGTGAGTGCACATGAAGTGTGTGGATGATGAGTGTATAAATGTATAACCTCATATGTGTGTACACATGCACGCATCCTTGTGCAAAATGCACGCACATGAGTATGCATGTGTGTCCACATGTGTACAAGTGTGTTTGTGTGTCACAGAACATTAAAACTTTACTTTTCTTTTGTATGGTTTTGCAGATTATATAATCTTCTTTCCTCTCTCTCTCTTTTTTTTGTAGCTATAATTTCTTTAATGTGCAAACATTGTGACTTACTTGGATCAGATCATCAGTCTCCAGGTCGACTGCAGCAGTAGCTTCATCAAGAACTAAAACTTTTGTTTTCCTTAAAAGTGCCCGTGCCAAACAGATCAGCTGCCTTTGACCAACACTACAAATATAAAAATTTATTGTATTAACATTCTTATTAGTGAGTGAATGCACAATTCTCGATTACTTCTCCCATACTCAAAATGAGACCACTATAATAAGAGTGGATTTATTGAAAGACTAGCTTTCACAAAGAGTTTCCATTATTAATGTTACTGCATTTATGAATGTATGCTTTATATTAAACATGAATATTCCAGTTCTGCCCATTTAACAACTTTGAAAATTACCTCAAGTTTTCACCTCCTTCAGATACTTCATGACTTAAACCAGCTGCAAGGCCTTTCACAAAACTTTTTAAGTGAGCATGTTCCAGGGCACGCCAGACATCATCATCAGAATACAGTCCAAAAGGATCTAAATTAATACGCAATGTACCCGAAAATAGTACAGGGTCCTGAGGAATAATTGTAAGGCGAGAACGAAGAGCATGGAGGCCCATTTTTGAAATATCTTGTCCATCAATCAAGATAGATCCACCAGCTGCTTCAATAATACGAAAGAGAGCCAAGGTCAGGGAAGACTTGCCAGCACCAGTACGACCAACTATGCCCACCTAAATGAAATAAAGCAAATTACTAACTACATATTGAGTACTATATTGTTTGAAGTGTACATAATAATAACTATACTATACCTTTTCTCCACCTTTCACAGAAAAGGTTACCCCTTTCAGTACTAATTCCAAACCTTCTCGATAACGAACTTGATAGTCCTTGAAATCTACTGCACCTTCATCTGGCCATGAAGGAGGAGGCGCCGAAGAAGGAATATCCCACTCTGCCTCCTTCAAAATATGATTTTTGCAGGGTACAAATTGTATTTCTCTTTGTAGTATTATAAGTTATAACACTAAAAGGGAAATGCAGTGGCCCACATACCTGAGGAGTTTCACTGTATTCCTTGATTCTTTCAACTGCAACAATATTTGTTTCCACATCAGAAGTCATTCTTACGAGCCAATTTAACGTCTGCGTAATCTGCGAAAAATCAGGACTTCATTATATTCAAATAAAGATATATACCATGAAGAATGACTAAATGAAGATATTTCTACATTGAAAGAAGAAAAGACACCTCTAAAAAAAGACCAAACTCAGAATATCTGCTTTTCATAAAATATAATGATCTCCATGAAAAGTAAAGGGAGGCTTGTGCACTTAGGTGGTAAAACTGTTAAACTAGTTGTGACATTTTCCCAGATGAATATATTGGTGTTTTCAGTTAATTTTCACTACTTATTTGAAAAATCATCACTTTTTTATCAATGATGCAATTATACATCTCCACTAATTTTTGCTTGAATAACCAACCTGTAATGCGTAGCTAATTGACAGACCAACATCACCTTCCGAAGAATTTTCCTTCTGCATAACCGCAAATAAAGCAGCAAAGAGTATAATTAAATTTCCTACCATTTCCAAACGAACTGCTAGCCACCTAAAAATACAACACATGATCTTATATTATTAATAAATTACATTCTCAGTAACACTGCCAATTATATGTAAATGAGAATTACATACCGATTGGCAATTATTGTAGGGTAGTAGCAAATCTGGTTAAAGTCAACTTTGCTCTCATTTTCAAGAATGAACCTTGATTGCACTCCATATGCCCTGATGGTAGATGCTCCTGTAATACTTTCACCAAAATGAGAATATATAGGAGATCTTGAAACCGATTCAAGTCTTTTTAACTGTCTTGATGTGGCAACATAAAATCTCTGTCATGAAATGAAATAAAATTCAATAAGTATTCATCACAAATATATACATAATTACAACAGACTAATCAGAAAATGTTCCATAACAAAAAATATTTCCTACCTGAACAAAGTAGTAAAGAATTCCTACAGGCACAATAACACTAATGAAGATAGGTGTGCTGTAACTGATTACAAATAATGTAGCTACAACCTGAAACAGATTTTAAAGACTTTAAAGCACTTCAAGATTTACTAGTACACTAAAATTTATTTGTAAGAGTAATATGTTTTCTTTTCTAACAAGGAATTCATTGTAATCACAAACAGAAAGGGGAAACAACTTTTATATTCACTGGGACAAAACACAAGACAATAAAGTTATAATAAGGTAACATACTCATCACATATACAAAAATTGTCAAGTTACACAAGATAACCATATAACAAATCTCCCAACCGAATCAGGAAAAGTTAAATTTAAAATGAAAATAAAAAACATTGTGATTGATAAAAAGAATCACATAAAAAAAATTTCGAAGAGATTTGATACAAAATTCAAAATTTGTTTTCATATTTAACATCTCTATTTAATAAATTAACTTTTTACAATGCAACACTAAAAAATTCAAATTCAGAAGATAGATGAATTAAATTAATTTATTTTTTTATTTTTTTAAAATCATTTTTAAACAAACTATTGCATTAATAAAGGAAAAACTACTTGAAAGAGTTTGTACAGATAAAGATGCAAACATAACTTTCAGGATAAGCAGCACAATTAAAAACTGGATTCCACAACTCCATCATTTCCCAAGGGTAGTAATAGAGAACACATACATATCAAGCAATAAAGAGTTAAATATCTTTTAAGTACAAATAAATTGCAACCACACAAAAAACATGCTTAAGCTTCATTTATCATGCATAAAGAAAATTTCCTTCACCTCTCAGTGGCATAAATAGAACACAAATCAGAAGAAGAAAATCTTAAAGTTTTCAATAGTTATTATTTAAAATGTGACAAAATATTACCTCAAAAAAACAATATAATGAATCAGATACTTGTCTCGGCAAAGTGTTGTCCAAAATATCAATGTCTTTTGAAAAACGTCCAAGAATTCGACCACTGGGGGTTACATCAAAGAAAGTAAGTGGAGCACGAAGGACGCCACTCAACATGATCACTTGCAAAACCACAGCAGCTCTCCAGCATCCCAGCTGAGGGGACAGGTCACAAAAGAAGGAAAATATTGCTGCAAGTAGAAAGAATTTCTCACCACATTGCAGCTTGACTTTCCCTAAATTACTGTTTTGCATCAACTGCATGAACAGACTAGAGACCAAAATGAATGCACCTAGTCAATGATACAGAAATCATTTCCTGAAGTTCAAGACATTGATATGACACACTTCCTTTAGTTTATGCTTGCACCAATTACAAATCCACACTTCAATTTTCAACATATTTTAAATGGTGCTGAAATTGTAAGACTGCATACAAACTAGATTAAGAACACATCAGGGAAACATTTGGCAATATTCCAATTTGACGATATGCAATACACTCCCATAAAATATAAAGCATTTACAGACAATTGCAAAAATAATTGAAAATAAAAAGAGAGAGAGAGAAAAAAGATTGTAAAGAAAAATTAACTGAGTAGAATAACATTTATCAATATCAATAATTTAAAAATGAAGCAGAAATATAATGTTAACAAATATTAAAATATAACTCTTAACATATACAAAAAGGCAAGTTTAATTATTTTTCACAGGAAATAGATGCTGACAAAGTGATCGCTCTAAAATGCGCATTGCAATCACTGAAAAATGTCATCACTACTAATAAAATTAATAATGAAGATGTTTCTAATTAAACGTGCCTCACAGTTGTTTAATTCAGCATTGAGTTACTGAAAAGGTCAAATTAATATTCTCTTAATTGAATCATAACATCTTACGTAATATGTATTCACATGATTTAGTTCTCACTTTATTTAGTTCTTTACATTACCTTCAAAGAATAATAAAAATAATGGTAGAGTTGGTAAAAATAACTTTCTTAAGTAAAATGTTCATAATAGAAACTAACATTGCAGAGAAGCAATTACCGTCTTTGACTTTATTTCTGCAAAAAATGAATAACAAGGAAGACGGGTATGGAGGAGGAAGAAAAAGAAGAAAGTTTCATCATTTTTAACTAATAAGATATTTCTCCTGTCAAACAAGAAAGAAAAAAAAGTAATGATGATTTTTGTTTATTTTTGTGATGGGCTTCAAAGAACAAAGAATGAAACAATTAATGACACAATAATCCTTGTTTCTTCAATTTCTTATCCAACTTCTTGAATTCTAATGGACGTCTATTAAAAGAGGTGAACAATTCCATGGCCTAAAAGGTATTTTCCTTCATTCATATACGGAATACATAACTTAGAAGACTTATATTCTCAAGTTACTTCATTCACAAGGTTAATTAAAAAAATATACATAACAAAAGCATGCAGTTACATTCATATGAGATAAACAGTAAGTTTCATAACAGAAAAAAGGTGTTATATGTCAAAATATTGGGTAACAAAACCCTCCCTACGAATATAAAATAATTAGTAGTGCAAGAAGAAACTTAGCATGTAGTTCTAATAAAAAATACACATGTCAAATGATCATCAGTAAAGAGAGAACCACAAAATTCCACATATGTATTAATGCATTATGAAGCAAATGACAAATATTTTTAAACAAACCACCAAAAACACAGGAAAGACAAAAAGAAGTAATCAGAAATGGAAAAGAAAAAATAAAACGATAGAGCAATAAGAATATAAAATTAAAAAAGTATGTATATGAATGTACACCCCTCAAATGAAAATTAATCACACAATTAAATGCCAAATTCTAATTTTTAGCTGCTCATAATATGCATTTCTCAACACAAAAGTGGATTATAAAACTACCTTTTTTTTTAAAAAAAAAAAACAACAAAATTCACAACAAACAACAAAACAGTTAAAAAAGTTTACACATGCAAGACATTCGATTTTGAGATACTGGCATTAATTGAAATGAAATATGAAAAGATATTTATTATAAAAGCTAATTTATTATAAATTTAAAATAGAGATGTTCTTCAATATCATACAAATTACCAGCAATGAAAATCATTACGGTGAACCTAGATTTTTTTTTTACTGCCTCTCATATCAAACTCTTCCTTGAATTATTGTTACTCAGAAAAAAAGAAAAACATTTGTTATGTCGATGAGTATGCACCAAAAGCAACGTACTTTCCGTTTTTCATACATACCGAAACAAGACATGACAAAAATCCTCTGATGATCATAGGCAAAACAGTGTCCAATGTATCAACATCTTTCGAAAACCTATTCAAAATGCGACCAACAGGAGTCACATCAAAAAACCCTAATGGTGTCTTCATCATATTTTTGAGCAATTCTAAATGGATGACACGAGCTGCTTTCAAACCACCAACAAATGTCATCACAGATGCCAATACAACAGAGACAGCTGGAAGCAAAAAAAAAGATCTTGCAACTACTTGATTTGCTAGTCCCACTACCCCACTTTTTTCTCATCAGTTTCCAGTAATCTTGCAGTTCAATTGCAATAGGAATGATATTAGGGTACTAAAGTAAATAATGTAGTTTTGAAAACAATAAATTGTGGCACTCAAACAACAGAGGAGTTGAGCAAGTGAAACAACTGATTATTCCCAAGAAGTGATAAGCTTGGTCAATGACTTACAAAAATCTATCATTTTCAACAAGGAAGAAATACAACTTTTAAAAATGTATTTACTTTTTCAGAAGCAAAAATACATTTCCTTTGATGAAATTAAAGTTTACATTAATTGCATCCAGAGGAATTTGATGAGAGAGAAAGAGATATTGGTCTATTTGTAACAATGCTAGTAGTTGCAAATCCATTTCAGTACATCTAAACATCACAAGTCACTATAAAAAAGCATAATACATGTTACATGCTAAATTTTCTGACATGTTCACCGCAACATAATACCTCCACATTCATCCCAACATTGCAGGGCAAAACACCATAAAATACAAAAGTATTCACATAAAATACCCAAACAACAACGAAGCACAATTCTATACACAAGAGGCATTAACATTATTAAGTAGTGAACCTTCTTTGAGCACTAGCTGCAAGATGGTGTAAAATTGTCATTCAGTTGTTTCTTTAGAGAAATCTTAAAAGGAGACAAATTAAATAATTAACAATAATTTATTTTATCGAAATTTTGCCACATCAAAAACAAGTCTTTTTAAAGTTTCTTGTCTGAATTACCACCTAACAAATTTGCAAATATTTTTGTTCCAAATATCAATAACCAAATACTGTATTAGCAACAGGCTTGAAAACAGGAAACATGCGTTTTGGAATATTTAACATTCATCTTAGTTTCAATGACAAAATTAATAAAATTTATAATTATTTCTGTTTTAGAAACTTCTCCTATCACTTGGTTTTGCATTGCAATACCACTTTACTATTTTCCTTTATTCAATTATTAAAGAGCTGCTTCTTATTCTCTTTATTCTGTAAATGGTCTACAATTATTAAATTCACTCATTGTCAATATTTTAAATTTCAGAATTATCCCTAAGAATATTATAAAACCTGGTAAAAATTTCTTTAAAAGCAATTTGAGGTCTTTAAAAAAATGTAAAAACCATTTCAACGATATCAAAAAGGCAAGAACATCTGTGCACAAACCATTTCTGATTATTAGATAGTATAATATGCCAACTGAAATTCCAAGTTACAAAAACTTAAAAGTATGACTCATTTTTCCCCCCAAATAACTATAATGCAATAATTTAGTAGCTCTAGTTTTCAACAATTTTTAATTCAAAAATTTTTACATGATGAAACATTTTGAAGGGATATATATAATCCTGTACAATGAGTGTGGCAATTTTACACCAAAGCAAAAACTTTTTGCACCCTGTTGAGTAAAAGCATTAATGATAAAAGAAAGAATGCCCTTGACAGATTGCGTGCCAAAGCCCTGAATATAAGCATTTAACAGCATTAAGCACAACTTTTTGAAAAGATCCAGAAATTAATAAGTATTCATAAAACCTTTGAGGGTACAGGCTATATTTAAATTCAGCTCACTTTCTCCTATGCAACACTGACACCAAATAAACCTTAAAGGAGCCAGATATCACTTTCCATTAAGAGATTCTTCACAGAACTTTTACATTAAAGGCACATACATTAAAACAAAAATGATGTGAGATTAAACATTGCAAGTGTAGGTGAACATAAATGAATGAACAACACAGGTTCAAAGAGTGTCAAAAAAAAACAGTTTACCGAAAAAAGGCAGTTAATCCATGATCTAAAATTATGAGGCAATACGTTGTCCACTACATCCACATCTTTACCAAACCGGTTGACAATTCTGCCCACAGGAGTAGTATCAAAAAAGCTCATTGGGTTGTGTAGCACGTTAGTGAGCAAAGAATCATGGAGATAGGCTGCAGCGACTAGAGTGCCCAATGCAATTGTCAGTGACAATATAAGCACTGATACAGCTGTAAAGACATTCCATAAAAACATTGATCATTCACAGTTTAATTGAAGGTGTCTTGAATTATTTCCATTGAATCACAAAACTCAAAGGTCATGGAGAATCAGGAAGCACGGGCTGCAAAGAATATCTATTAATGAATCCAATAAACCACTCCAAAAAGTTGTGCTGTATTTTCACATATTTTTTTAAATTACAGATGCAAAATGTACACTGTAGGCATTGTTAGACTAGAATAAGCAAATACTATGTTGTGCTTTAGGAACTCTGAAATTATAAATTGAGAATTTCATTTATTCAAAGTGTTAAAAAACAACACATTACCCACTTTAACTCTACAGAAATGAACAACATGCTCTTGTTATGAAGAGGTTACAAGAGAATACAATTCATAACAGGATCTTTTGGCTCAATATGAAACTTTTTCATGCAAATAATCAGAAAATGTTTGAATGTTACAATTTTTCATTAGAATACTTAATGAATGGTTTAAACAAAAGCCTATTTTTAACACCACTAGGTAGTTCTAAAATGACAAGTACCTGAATAGTCTGAGTTGAGGAAGCTCATGCTTCGAAAAATAAACAGATTGTTTTTTTGTTAAAACAAATCAAGTTACATTGGTTCTTTTTAAAATATATATCTACTGAGAATCCAAGCAAATATTTTGAAAAGTATTAGAAAGAAAAATACTAATGCAAGAAAATTAACATGCCTCAAGCAAGCTAATAGGATAAAAAATAAACATGCTTTAATGTATATGAGATATATGTTGTTGAGGGTTCTCCAAGACGATGTTGAATCATCTCCCTGACTGCCCAGTTAATTTTTTGGGCATAATTTGCAATTGGAAACTGCACACAATTTTGTATTCCATGTGCAGCTTTTCTGCACACCAATGAAGGTAGCAGCATGACAGTCAAAACAATACAGAGAATTTCTGAGAAATTGAAATATTCATCTACCAGCTTTACTTTTAGAGTAACAACTTAAAAATCATATTTCCTAAGAATAAAAGAAGTCACATTCATTTCATTTAAAGTTCTAAAAGCTTATTATATTTTCACTTTATCTTGTTGTCTTCACATTATTTTGGAATAAAAAATTTCTTTTGTTCACCTAATTTTTGTTGACTATTTGTGGTAATTAATTCAGAATGATTTTAATTTTAGAAGTCACAGGATATTAAAATGACATTCCAAAATTAAGCCTTTTTATTTCTGGTAAAACAGTTTTAATAAACACCTATGGAACTTCTTCTGAGTATTAACACATAATCGAGTAAAATTTCCTATCATTGGAATACAGTGAAACTTCTCCCAAAGACCATCCTCTCAATGATCTATTTTTCATGAAACTGACACTGAAATTCATATATTGTATTAAAATTATACCCTTGGCACCAGATCATCTCTCTTCCTGATCACCGACCAGCTTCTTAATAGCAATTTATTTTATTTACCCCTTCTAAGAGACCACTTTCAGGAAAATTGTAAGTATACAGTTTCAGTAATAAAAAACGAAAACTTGCAACATTGTATTGATGTTCGTATGATATGTCTTGGCCCTCAGGTTAAATCTCAAGGGTATTGAAGGGCAGGGGATCCAGAGATCAAGTAACAAGAAACCACAGCCACTGATATGATATCATGGCTGTTCGCTTCATTTGGATCCATTCTTTTTATGAGGCGGCAGATATGAACATAACATAAATGTTTGTATTTTTATAGAGCCTTCCCTAATTACCTTCCTGGAAGAACACATGATATGGTAGAATATCAATGTCGAAAGTCAAAGTTATCTAAGTTAACTAACTTGCTCAGTAACACAGGAGTGTTTGCGTTGTGCCTGGAATCTGAGCCTCTGCTTTCTAAGAACCTCATGTAAAGTTTTTTATTTGTGCAAAGAAGTGCAAGAAAAATGACGTTTTGAACTTCTAGACCATAGAATGTGACATGCATACCCAAATGACATATCGAGTCTACTCAAAAAAATAGAAGTTTGGTACTGAAAGAGACAAGTATTGGGAGTACTAAAACTGAAAACGATTTCATTTTTTTTTTTTTTTTTAACCCAAGGGAAGGAAATACAAATATTTTAAATAATAGGCACTTTCCTAAACATCTGATGTTTAGCAATAATAGATGATTTTTTGTACAAAATAAGATTCACAAATTAAGTGAACGCCGCTCTCAAATACCACTTTCTTCACAGACCCAACATGGTCGCTTAATACAGGAATCGCTGTTTCCGTAAAACATTTCATTTTCTTCTAGAAAAACGTACAGAACAAATCAATCGAACCAGGCACATATAAATTTCTTTTCCGTTTTTCTTTAAACTTTTTATTTGCTCCAACACCTGAATCTTGCAATAGACCAAATACAGACTATGGAAAAAACTTTAAACATTAGTCTATGAAGATTGAGACAAATTTCAAAAAAACTAATTGAATGGTCAAATTCTAAATGTAGTTATATTCTTAACATGATTCATAATTCTGAAGATTTAGGATTGCCTGTGTACAAGCACCAAACAAAATAGAAATGACACATTCTCTCTCTTTCTGGAAGAATTTCCAAAAAGCTGGAGAAGTACTTAGAAACACTTCCCATTAATTTCAAGGATAGGGGTCTGAATTAATCTAATGTGTCATGGGAAGTTTTCTAATATTACATTTATAGCAGAAATATAAAGTTGTTTGAGATATGAATAATACAGAAGAACACACTATTCCAAGTTTCTACCAAACATCCTGAATTTTTACTATCAGTTATAATTTCACAGTCCTATACAAAAACTGTTTTGGGACTACTAGTGAACTACAGAATAAGCACTACAAGAGAGAAAGCAAGCAGCTAATTCCAAAAAGGATTCAGACAATAAGTGTTTGAATATCGACCTATGTCACACTTTATTTAATATTTTACTTAAATACCCTCAAATATTTCAAAAATTTTAGCATGAAAAAATAAAAAATGACCTGGTTAACCTGAAAAAGTCACACTTATACTTGACAGTGTTCAATGTAATTTATTATGATCTACTATTAAGTTGTTTACTTGATATACTATTTCCTTGTTATAAAATTTACTTGATATACCACTTAACTGCATAAAAATAAAAATTTTCTCTGAAACTAATTTCAGATGTCCCGAATTTCAATTATTGTCCATTTGGCAACCCTATATGCATCTGTCTTTATAATATGACAAATATCACAGTCAAATAGTGAGAAAGAGAACTAATTACAAAATGTGCAAGTAGAAGAAAACAAAAAGTTGAGAAAAGAGGAGAAACCAAAACAAAAGAAATGTGTCAATCCCTTAAAGATTTACCCTTAATAAAATAAATGACCAGAACGTAGTTCAAAAAGTTTCGATAATAATGTACATTTTTGCTGGCAATCTTTAATATTTTAGAGGCTGTCCCTCAGGCATACATGATAACTTAATTTCCATACCTCCTTGTTACTCATAATATTATAATATTAATTATTTATGTTATATCAACATAATGGAAGCACACACAACTCTACACATTATTTTTACTCAGTACCAGTACTGCCAGTAGTAAGACTTTTTGCAGGTATAATTTAAGCTAATGTATTTTGGAAAGAAATACATTTAGAATAATAATTATATCATAACAATTTAGAAAAACTTATTTACATTTTGCAGAAAATCAGCAACCCAACAAACACAAACACACACATGCAGATGTGCCCACACTAAAATGTGCATGTAACCATATATGCACAAGTGTGTGCACATGTGCTTGTGCATGCGAACACATTAGAAAATCAGAAAATGGAATGCTTTCAACAAGATCAACTCTCAGATAGAATAGCTCAATAAGGTCATAATTCTTCACTTTCATGTATCACTTGTTCAAAGCACAATCAATTAAATTCTGGAGTTCAATAAACAACTTAGTATCTTTCCTCTTGATTTCTTCATCAGATTGAACTTCTTTGCAAGTTGTCATAGCAATTTGCAATTTGATAAGGTAACAGATTATATTAAACAAATTTCTGGATAAATTTTGTACAATTTTAACCTTGAAGAGGTATGGGTGTCCACAACCTTTTTTTTTTTTTTCCCATAAAAACATTAACCCTTCAAAGTGGTGGGACATTTCCATCTGCACATGTGGAGTAACATTGCAGCATGCATGTGGAGTACCAACCATGCAGGTTGCATTTTGTTAAACTTTTTTAATGCTTTCACGAACTAAGTAAAATGTTTTCACAGCTGTCACTGCATACTTTCAAGTTTTCACTATCTATACAAGTGGATCATAAGTTTTAATTATCGGAATTTAAATTGATGTCAAGAACAAATCAGTTGTTATTGGCAAAGATAATGTATGACAGCAGTGACCTTATGTAGGAAAATTCATTTTTATTTAGATACAGGCTTTGAAGCAGCAATTCTGTCCGCTGGAAGAATTCCTTCCCTAATTGGCATCAGAATTGTTAATAAGAAAAGAGACATTGAAGGGTTTGCTACACTTAAGTCTTTTTGACACTTTAGACCCACAAAGTTATTCGTGGGAGAAAAAAAAAATCTTATTATGTGCAAGTTAAATATCACTTCCTGTTTTTCTGAGCATTTCATTTCAATTAAAACAATATACTGTAAGACTAATTTTTGAAATATAATTTTCAACTTCACATAACAGTAATCAGAATTAAAACTTTTAATTATCAATTTTTCCAAAGGTATGAACTTACCTTGACCGACACCTAATGCACCATACACACCCAAGTACATGTCTCTTTTTGAAGCTTCTTGACCAGTTCCATCGTCTGGTAAATCAGTAGACCATCTCGATAGCCACATATTTGAACCAATTGAAAAAGCTTGAAATAACACATTGAATAGGAGAGTTGATACAGCTAGCACCAAGCCAATGGACTTCAAGTAGTGAGAATACACACTCCATTTGACCTACAAGAGTTAAGCAAGAACTTAATATAGGGACAAGGAAAATAAAATATTATGAATTATGAAGCAGAAACTTACACTTCCAGTCTCTGCTTTCTCAGTTTCTATTAGTTTTTCACCAACAACAGGAGCTTTCACTGCACCATCTTTCTCTGAATTTAATCTCGACAGGCTTCTCTTTTCAGCATTACTTTCCACAGAAGTTTGTCTAAACAGATGATATATTAATATTTTAGTATTCATGGCTGTATTAAACAAGATTTAAGTAATTTTATTGTTATCAACAAAATCCATTTAGTTGAAAGAAACAAAAAGCTTAACACATTACACAACCAGTTTTCTATTCCATTAGTCCCCGATTCTAACATTTAATCATTTGTATTAAATACAGTTTTTCTTTCAACAAAAACCAAATTTATTCTTCACAATCGTGAAAGCAACTCTTAATACCAGTAGAAAAAATATTAGTCTTGAACATATCCTTCACAGTTATAAACTACTCTTCACTTAGTTTAAGTGTTGAGTTTATATTAAAATATAAAACAAGTTTTAGTGCCAAAATAAAATTTCTGTTGCATAATATTGCCCTGCCCAGTGAAGTATCCTGCATCCATATTCTTTGTGTCAACTCATCAGATATTGCATCTAACCTATTCTCCCTGTTCCACACCAGTCCCTCATAATTGATATGACTATACAAACTCAAGATCTTAAAAAATTGGTAAAATCGAGCAAACATGTGCTTTAAATTAATGAAAGGTGGATTTAACAAAAAAGGTGCTTTTTAACTATTGTTTTAAATGTTTTTGTTTAAATAAGGTTTTATGTAAATATGTTTTTATTAAATCTTTCTTTTGTTAAAATAAGGGTCATTGCTACAATGAGTTTTTTGGTAAATAAAGAGTTGTTTTATTTGATAAGATGATTTTTTCGATAAAAAGAGGTGTTTTGATAATATATTTTTGTGGTTGTTGTTGTTGTTGCTGCTGCTGCTAAAACAAGTTTTGCTGGCTGAAATAAGGTTTGCTGGTTAAATTAAGGTTTGCTGGTTGAAAGGAGGTTTATTTGGTTAAAGTAAAGTTCAGTTTGTGATTTCTTGGCTGTCCAGGTGACACCACGTTGTTGGTTGAGAGGCTGACACTTTGCCTGTTATATCAAAGGCTTCCTCAGGATAGTGACTGACACTACCCTGAGGAAGCTTGCAACATGACAAGCGAAACATCAGCCTCTCAGCCAACAATGTGGTGTCACCCGGACAGTCAAGAACTCTAGCTGTGTAAAGTTCAGCTTACTAAAATGCACACAATGGTATAAAACCCATAAGTAATTATTAAATTAAAGAAATTTGAAATTAATACTGTACACCTGACCTCAAGGTTATCATAAAGTTATGAAGCATTTAAATAACGACTTTTGAATGTTGTATTTTTATATGCTTTTAGAATGGAATTTGAAACTTGCATTGCCACTTGGAAAAATCATCAAATACTGTACCTCAACATATTAAATAAAGAAATCTAATCAGTAACTACAACTTCTCCACTTACCTTTGTAACGAACCAGATCTTGACAGGGAACGTTTTTCACTTACAGATCCAGAATCACTTTCTGAGATGCGTGATCGAGCTCTAATTAATTTTTGCTGGAGCTCTTCAGCTCCCATTGTACTTTCCAGTTGTTGTTTTAATTCGTCTAAATCTATTATAACAATTTAAATCACTCTATCAATATTTTGCATTAAAAATCACTTAATTTGAACCAACCTTCTCTTCTCAATGGTGCTTATAGCTACAAGATATGATACATCCAGATGATTAAAATTCTTACCAGCTTGGGAAGTACTGTCATCTCCACTGCCTTCCTGCAAATGCTGTAGCAGAAAATCAGCAAAAGCACCTTTCTTTTCCAACAATTCCTTGTAAGTTCCCATTTCAGTTACTTCCCCATCTTTAAGTACAACAATCTGATCCACCTCTGGTAAGAAAGTAATGCCATGAGTAACAAGGACTCTTGTCTGAAATTAAATATTGAAAAAGATGAATTGCAGAAAACTGGAATCGGAAGTTCAATACAATGCTTTTATATTTCGCATTACCTTTTTTTTTAACAGCCCAGATGGTCCTATTACATTTTCAAAAATATGCTTTCCAACGTGGCTATCAACTGCACTAAGTGGATCATCCAAGAAGTAAACATCTGCATTATTGTACACAGCTCTTGCCAAACTCACACGTTGTTTCTGTCCACCACTGAGATTTATACCCTGCCAAATAAGATTGCTGTTATCACCACACTACTGCATCTTCAATACACAATAACTGCTGAATCTACACTACCCAGAAAGTACAATCAAAGGTATGGTGCGATTGATTATTACATTTTACAGAAAAAAACTTATGTGCCTTTTTGCAATTCAATATTGAAAAAATATTGATATAATAAGAGTGCACATTAACTTTACAAAATTGCTCAACTTTTGTCAACATATAATAATTTCAATTGCAGGATGATTAATCAGAATTTAGCCACCATTGAAAAGGAAGTAGTAATTAATGGCACTTCAAAATGGCAAAGACTTCTTCAACTAATTAGTTGTTCTTACTTTCGAGTCAGGGCTACATTTTCAGTTTCTCTCACTTCACAACTGCCATTATCACTACCAATCGCAGGGCTGCTAAAGTAGGCATCACCTTTCTACAGGCAACTTCTCTGGTGCTCCCTGAACAACAAACTGAGGTAGCCTATACATCAGTTTTGTCCTATATCATTATATACAAGAGCCTAGAAGCCCACGACTCCACCTCACAGTTTCAACCATTGTTCTAGGTGTAGGGTCACAGTTCCTCAATTACAACATGCAGATAGATAGTGCATATAGATGCACACGAACATCTTACAAACAGTTCCTGGTAATTTTTATTTATTTGTTTTTTAAAGATCTCTGTCCAATAATATCACCTAAATAATTAAATTTTGATATTTGGACTCTTATTTGCCCAATAATGACAATTCTGACTCTTCTCATTCCTTTTCCTTAATATATCATTAATTTTGACTTGCTTGAGGAAATTTTCATGTTGTTTCAGTACTATTTTATACAATTCATTTGCTGGATTCAATTAGTTGACCATCTTCTGATTCCATTATTAGAAGTCCATTATCTGCATAAAAGATTGTTTGGATTATCTATCTTTAACCGAGATATTATTTCTCTCTTGGTAGTTAATTTCCATTCCGTAATGATATGGTTGGCATTTAGAGAATTGGACAGGCATGGTAACATGTCACATGCCTTTCTTAATATTCTGTTTGTACTGAAAGATTTTGATACATTTCTTTTATTCATTTGTATTCTCATATAAGTACGCTATCTACCATCCAGTTTTTATTTCTTGTTGAGGAGTTTGTGCACCCTCCAATGTTAAAGCACTATGTTCTGCTACGTTATTTTGAAGAACACATTAAAAAATGTTTCAAGTAGTTGTGTTCAGAAATGCACTAAAAAACAAAATATGCCTGTTGAATAAATATTAATGAGAGAGATATTTTCAAAATGGTGCTCATCGCTACATTAATTCAGTAGGCGCTTTCCCCCTCTATCCATACAAAAGTTTCAGAAAAAAATTTGGAGCCATTTTTTAGAAGATTTTGAAAATGTGATTGAGGTTTTATGTAAAGTATCAAAAAATTAAAAGATATATTTCAAATTCGAGGGTCTGTGATATCAATCAGGGATCAGAGAAAATCAATTTTGATGAAAATTTAGTTACTAGTGTCGTTCACAGTCTGACGTATGGACAGTTTGAAAAATAATTAAATGAAATCACTACTTCGGTATCAAGGACTCCCAAAACATTTATTTCCATCAAAATCTATTTTGGCAATGATTTTTGGCGGCATTACATAACTTTCTATGTATTACTTACATGACAAAGTAAAAATGCCTAGTAGCTCAAAGTACTTGTGAATAATTGATGTGTTAGCACAGCATATCACAATGTAAAATTCCAAGTCATTTCAAGCCCTTGAAGAGTTTCCTCTATCCTAATACAGGTTAAAAGCTGGTCCAGAAGAGCAAACAGGGAACTTCATTTATCAAGTTGTAAATCATTAAACCTACTCATCCAGTTAAGCTGACCAAAAGAGCACATTACACTTTGTGTGTCAAGAACAGATGGAATGATATTAGTGAACATATGGTTGGAATTGAGAACTACCAGAATGAGATATTGGAATTGTGAACTACAAGTCTGAGTACAATGAAACTTATGTGTAATCACTTACCTTTTCACCAATTTCAGTTTGATCTCCACCAGGCAACATGTCAAAATCTGGTTTGAGTGCACAAGCTTCCACAACACGTTTGTACACAGTTTGATCCATAGACCTGCCAAACACAATATTATCTTGTAATGTAGCATTCTGAATCCATGCTTGCTGAGGTACGAATGCAATTGAGCCCTGCAATAAAAATTCAGATTTTTAGTAAGTTTATTAAATGCAGAAATCTGTATTATACGAATACCATTCATTAACAGCCCAGTATATTTAGGTTTTACTTCCTGTTACGAACATAGAATCCATGAATTGGTTAGATTCAACATCTACACAAATTATACAGCAATTCGATTTAAATGTCATATGACAGTCACCCTCATAGCACATCACACTCAGTTTTTAACTGTTTTCGCCATTAAACAAATTACTTTTCAAATCCATTTTTCTTTTGATGTGTAATACATATTACTACATGATTTCAAAACATTAAAACAGTATTTATTTCCATGCTAGATGCCAGTATAATCTGTTTAATTATTACTTCCTCTAATATCATAATTCCAAATTTTATAAAAACAAGTAGATAATACCAAATTAGAATTTACTTTATCAGGATGAACTCTCAAGATAAATATTATTAATTAAAACATTTCAGTTCCAATACATAGGGATTTTATACAAGTTCAGGAACAAAAAGGATAAGAGAGACTGAAAGTAATTATTAAAATCTAAAAAGGTGAATTTGGCTTAAGTTTACTCATCAGACTTGCTGACATCATGCGTCATATTACACTCACATGTCTTTCTGCCAACATTGTTGATTTATACAAATAATCTGATATCTGATGTAAATATTACTGGCACTACTGGCAATATAAAGAATAAAATATTAAACCTCATGATAATAGCTGTGTTACAAGTAGCATGGTCAGCAAAAGCCCAAAAAATAAAATGCACTCATCTGGCAATAATTAGTTGGAATATACATGGATTCTTTTACTTAAAACATTGGAGAAAAAAAAGTTGGCTACGAAATTGAAAAGCAACTACAGTTGCGACTTTCTTAATAAATTGTCTTATTATGCTTCAATTTCTTCACCTGGAATTGATTTCATATACAATTAGTGAGGTCTTCCTGGAAAACAGTTGACTAAAAAGAATTAGTTTACAGAACCAAAAATTTTATATTTTTGGGAAAGTGTAAGGAAAATGATTGGCCCCGTATTTGAAATGCAAAGTCTTTGTAATGATAAATATAATAGAACATTGAAAAATGATTATGACATGAATATATTAATAAACTGACTATGGTGTGCAGCTACAATGACCGGGGACAGTGCTAGAAGACATGAAAGTTATCAAAACTAGACTCCCAATTTGGTGATTTTCTGTGTATATTATGGTATTTCTGTGTAAGTTCCAGTTTCAATTGGTATTTCTGTCCAAGTTCATTTGAGTGGGTTGGCACTTTAGCCAGTTGACAGAAAATCAACAAAATTCACCATCGAAAGAGCAACAGGTAAACATTATCTGCATGTTTTATTCCAGAAAACATTAAAATATAACCACAAGTTCCTGCCGTGAAAATCTTCTGAACTGTTACGTCTGATAATGAATAACATTGTATTAATTAGGGTAGCTTTCATTACCTTTGTATTAACTCTTCCGGTCAATTTTTCCATTTCCCCAAGGAAAGCTGATATCAAGGAACTCTTTCCAGAACCAACACTGCCAACAACTGCCACAAGAGATCCTGAACTAAAATGAAGGTTAATATTTCGCAAGATAGGGTCATCCTCTGGGCCCCAAGAGAAAGTACCATTTTCAATAAGAAGAGGATGCTCTAAAAGAAAATACTCAAAATTATATAAATTCAAATTTTTCACACAATATTTACTTACACACATTTCATTAAATATGATGACTTACTCTCAGAATTATCATGTGTTACATTATTTGGATCCAGTTCTTCAGAATTCATGAATTTATTCATTCTTTTAATAGATACACTGGCCTAACAGACAAATTGGAATAGTTAGAGGACTTCATCATGAGAAACATCACTATCACAAATTATTTACACAAACAGTTATTGTTAAATATAGTTTCATGCAAAAAAGGTTTAATCAATTTTTATTTTATACTTTCAGCATTAATGTTTATGAAAGGCAAAGACACATTTTACGATGTATTAGAATGAAGTCTACATTTACTTCAACTGTTTTGAAATATACTAAAAGTATAAAAATCATGGTTAACTTCTTGCAAAGAAGGCTGATAAAGCAATAATTTTCTTTGATAATTAGTTTCACACATGGTATTCTTAGTAAACTTATAATCAATCAGGAAACAATTATAGCAACATTGCAAGTAGGTAAGGTAAGTAAAGAAGTAAGGCATAGTTAATAAGCCATGAAGGAAATTATTACAATATAATACCTAATACAAGGTAACACAAATTCAAGCCAGATGGGGTATAGAACACAATGAAAGATTTTTACCCACGACTTCACCAAGAAAGTGTTTTAATCCTTTACCAAGATTACAGTGCAAGTGATATTAGTGCAAAAACAAAAAACCATCACACTATTTTCTTACCTGAACCAAATTTGATATCAACATTGGTAGCATAGACAACGGGAAACGCAAGATATTAAACAATGACAGGGAAACAAAAGCAGTTTTTGAATCCAAGATATTCCTCTCATCAGAAAGGACAAATGTAGCAAAGGTTACTAACGAAACCTGGGAGCAGACAGAAACAAAACACCCAATAAATTCAGAACTGTACAACAAACACCACATTCGGAGAAGAAAACATTGCCAGCAGAAATATTTGGTGTGAGGAGAACAAACTTGAAAAAACACAAGACAAACATTTCTGAGCCTACCACATTTCTTCCAATAACAGATCATTCCTCTAGCAACAACTCTCTTTATGCAACATTAATTTTAGAATGTCATGCGTCATTACTTTGTGTTTAACAATAATAACTTTCTTATTTGATCTGCTATACAAGAAAGAAATGTGCCAGACCATTCAAGAGTGGAGAAAAGCTGCGTGATCTTCTTCCATCACCATCTCGCACGTCAGTCCTCTAGAAAACAGACGGGCACAGAATGTCTCACCTGAACCATGTTGATAATGAGCATAGGGAGCATGGACATAGGCATTCGAATTATATTGAACAAAGTGAGGGAAACAAACGCCTTCTGTGCATTCAATACATTGTCTTCACTAATCATCACATAAGTAGTAAAGGTCACTAAAGATACCTGAGGAAAAAAAAAGACATTAACATTATGAAATATTACTTTCAACAGAACTGGTATTTGTTCTTTTCTATCCCGGTAAAAGCTGAAAAACAAAAATTTCTTATTTTTAACTGTACTTTTTACAATTATTTCTTCACAAACTTTAAAGTAATTTTTAGTGAAGTGATTCCTATTATCAGTTATGAATTGTTGCACATTTTTATATCTGTTTCCTGGAATTATCCAATCAAGAACCATCAGAGAGCAAATCTACAGATATGCAACACCAGGGATACTTATTTTATGGTGTATTTGGGAAAGGCATCGATTTTGTGCCTGTCCATATTGTATCCCCATACGCCTAGGTAAGTGCCATCCTGCTCTGCACTTCTGTTTTCCACACAGCATTACCCTTCCCAGGCCCAATCATTCCCAGCCCTGCTCTCTCTACCCCTTCTCGCTTCACTTCAATCGTCACTCCTGACAGTAGCTATAAACCTTAGTTGCGTTGTACTCCAAGCAAAAATCCAGAAACAAAGTAACAATCTTTAGAGTGAGATCATTGACCATTTTCATATACCGGTAATAATAATGCTGCTTCATTACTGGATCAATAACCTGGGGCACTTTCTTGCATCATGGGCCACTATTTCATAATTTTCAGGAAGCTTGCAAAAGATCCACAATATTGGTTAAAAATGTTGCTTAATATTACTGTGTATATTATATTGTCTAGTCTTCCTTGATTTTTTGATTTTTTATAATTTAACAGGTGTACATCCCCACGCATGTTGACTTCAATACATCAAATAATTCTGTGCAACCCACTGACCTTCCCCCCCCCCCTCCTTTCTCGACTCCTACTCAAACCCAACCCTTGCATATTGATGTAGTCCTTCAATATAATATATTGCAGTGTGCCGCATGTTTTATATATAGTACAGTTATGGACCAGACGTATATATATATTATATATATTATATATAGTAATTAAACTATATATAATATATAATTTTATATTAATATAATATATTATATATATATATATAAATATATATAAATAAATAAAAGGATCTACACAAGTTCATCTCCTACAGGCATAAATGCTAGTATTGAAGATTACAAGAGTAAATAAGATTTTATTTACAAAAGAAAAGTTTAGCTCCAGCAGCTATGATGCGCGTCCCAGGGTGCTAATTTCTCAGAGTGCATAAAATTGTTTTACAAATTTCTACATTACATTCTACAAATGGAACACAACTTTCTTTGATTCACTGAGAGCTTAGTCAAGAGGACATTTAAAAAGTGTAGATGTAGATAAATACATATAAATACAGTGTTATTAGTGAATTTATTTATTTTTTCACTTGAGATTAAAATTATTTTTGACCATGAACAATAACCTTAAGGGTTAGATAATTGTAGTAAGTAAAATTTTTCACCAACTTGACTTTCTTTAAAACATTCAGAAATAACGCCTCCGCAAGGAAATAATCAAATTATGTGTGATTATCTTACCAAGAATGGAGCACATGACCAAATAAAGGAGGTAGCAGCATTTAGATATGCTGCTTGTTTAAGTACATGAATTTCCTTGTCACGAATTTTAAGTACTTGTTGCTCAAATGAAGGTTCCCAGGCATACAGTTTTAAAACTTTTATGCCACTGAGTACTTCATTCATCAACTTCACTCGTTCATCCTTATTTTTCATTTGACGAATCTGCAAAACCTTCACCCGATTGGCTACCACACCATTTACAGGAATAAGAATAATCATAACTGCTAATCCAGCTAGTACCGAAGGGCCTGAAACAAACCATATCATAGCACAATTAACTTTGCTTTCACAATACAAATTTTAGAAGACACTCCTTAGCAACTCACTAGAAATTCACAACAAATATTCTTATCTTCTCCTGTACATCAAAATATCTATCTTTAAGAAATAAAAAAATTAATTTCTAGAATACACATCAGACAAATTTAGTGGTAACAATTAAATTGTTATGTTCTTTCTGGTCTTAGTCCTCTTAAATGGAAAATTTCTTTTCATCATCATAGTTCACAAGCAACAAAAAAATGATGTGAATAATAAAATTATACCCAAAACATTTTGTGTGTGAGTGCGTCTCAAAATTGTGTAACAAGGAATATTCAATGAAGATTACTGATTGCAGATCAGTTCACACATGACTTATCCAAAAGAACTACATAAAACTGATCTTCCCAAATCATCTCCTTGCAGCTTAAAAATTCAGACAGATTTTATGTTGTCCCTCATTAACAGTACACTCAAAATTATGTTTGCACCAAATATTTAAGTTATTTATAATTGAAGACATTTTTGAATCTGCATGTCCAAATTTTTACTTCTATACCAATATTCTAGCTTAAGACTATGTAATCAATGACACCCAAATAAAATATTTCATTACAAATTACCTAAAGTATCCCATAAAAAGTATAATGCCAATGCTATCTGCAGGGGTGCAGACCATAACATGCTTAAATAAGCTGTTAAATCCATAAATCGCTGAGCATCTACAGACATGAGATTAACTATTTCTCCAACTGTAGACTCCTTACGTGCAGCACTAGATAATCGTAATGCCTGAAAAATGTAATTCACATTATAATCCATGCAAAGTTCATTTCTCACACATTGCATGAGAACTATACTATCAAAAGTTTAATTGAAAATTACCTTACGATAAATAGCTGACACCAAAGCCGTGCGAATTCGCAATCCCACTAGGAACATTCTGTTGAAATATTGGGCAAGAAACAGTGTCTGAATAGATGCAGCAAGAAACATGAGAACTGCATAAAAATAACCTTTCCACTCTTCTGTATATGTATCATCAGAAACATAAGAAATCAACAACCTACACAAACATATTTCATAAGAAATGGATAACAAATGCAACTTAATGAGAAATGAAATTTAATTGGATGGTCTGTAAACCTACTTTAATATCTGAGGACTAGCAAAAGTTAATAGGTCTTGAACAAGTTTTAGTAAAGACCCAAAAAGAAAAGTAGCACCAAACGCTTTACACACTGCAGGTAATACTGAAGCTTGGGTCTTCTTACTACGTTTACCAACAAGATCCACACTTGCTGATGTCTTGTGAAAGGAAGCTTTGGGACTTGGAACACTAGAAAACAAAGGACTAAATAAGTAATTGAGAAGACACTATTATCTCAATTACACTGCCGAACACACACTCACCCAAAATTAACCCAGAACATCCTCGAAAGCACAAATATAAAGACATACAAAAACCATGACAAGTTTCTATGATGCAACAATTTTTAAATGGTTTAAATTAATTCATCACTTATTTTCATTGATTTCTTTTTAAGTATTCATAAACAAAAATGTTAAACATACTTAGCAGATTTCTCCACTGACTTCTGCCAGTATTTGTCAAATCGAGGAATAATTTCATGAGCTGTGTCTTCAGGATTCATATTCCATAAGTCTTTGGTCTCCAGTGGTCGTCTGAAACCTTTTAATGCCAAGGCATCAAACCAACCAAAGAAGAGACGCGATAAGAAAGAAGCTCCTTGTTCTGGGCATGGATTCTGAAATTCAGAAGAGACAATACAGTTTAAGTTCATGAAAGGAACGATTAAAGTACTTCATTTTAAAAAGACTTACCTCTGGTGTAGCATATTCTGAAAATCTTGGTGCTGCATCAGATTTGCAGTTAAACAAGAACAGTATAACCACCACAGGAAAATAAACTAAGTAAGTGATGAATGTGAAATAATCCTCATTTTCTGCCTATCAACATGTCACAGAAAAAAAGAAATAAGCATACTTAAATTTTTTTACTAAGTTTACTAAAGATATAACTTCACAACTGCCACAATTCTTTTTTAAACCAAGGTAGAATTAATGCTTTTGTACTGATGTTTTCAAAACTAATATTCAAAAACTAAGAAATTAAAATAATAATTTTCAACATACTTGTTCTACAAATAACTGATAGTAAATAATAATTAAGTGTAAAAAAATGGAATTAACATGAAAAACGTACACATATTATTTACTTACATCATCTATTGCTTTGTTCAGTTCTGCACGATACTGAACAATTCCAAACAGAAGCAAAAGAAACCAAAATAAAAACAGCAATCCGGAAGTCCTCATACCACGTTGCCTATTATACCATTGTAAAACAGCTGTTAAAATCTGAAATAATTAACAGAGAAAAGGTCAAAATACTGTAAAATATATATATATAAACAATAAAATATGTAAAATACTTACAAATGAAACCAATTTAATGAGAGGAGTGTAATATTCAACTGAATTTACTTCTCTTTCTTGATCATTTTTCCATAAAGCGTAACCAAAGTCTGCTATACTCAAACCTATGAGTACAACAGTCAGAAACTGGAAAAAGATTTACATTTACAGACTTAATCAGCCATTCGTTTATACAAAATATAAAGGCATTAAGGGGTATGACTTACAAGTTTTGAAATATTTAACCAATTCCATGGTATATTTCTAAATTTACTGTTCAGTATGTAATAGGTTTCCAGAGGGGCAAATACCCACAAGAATACACATGGGGCCCAAACTAAAACAGTCTTCTGAAAACATTCTGTCAAATCTGGTCTGTTTGTGTACCAAGTAACTGAAGCATTCTGAAAAACAAAAAAAGAAAAGTATTACGGCAGATATAGGTACAAAGGAGCGTTTAAGAACATCAAGTAATACGAAAATGAAAATATTAGAGACCTGTCGACATGTAATTACATACTAGTTGCTCTTGACATATAACAGTATAGGTTATGTTATGTAATACTTATTAAGGCAAAGGTAAGTAAGTGATATTTTACCTGATGAAATACTATGTATTTTTATATTTAAATATATAAATTATCTCTTAACTTACCCAGAATGGGGATCCACAAAATGCATCCATCCCCTCGGATGCCATTGCCCTCACAGGTGTTCACAGGCCCTACTTGCTACGGCCGGCCGATTCCGATGTAGAACGTGTTCTCCACAAGTACGTACAGTATAAGTGTAGTACGTGTAACCTGCAAACAAAAGGAGGGTAAGTGACGTACAAAATCAGACAGTATATATTTTTTTGAAGAAATACGCTACATCAAACAATTTTAACAACAAAAATATGATACAGTGTTCCCTTAATCGGAACGATGTAGAATTATAAACGAATTTTATATCATTTTATATAATACGCGCGCTTGCTTCACGTGCTAAATAGAACTTAACGAGATTTTCAGCATGTTTCAAGCGCGATGATTTCTGTGGTGCCCACACCAGTATAACGGAAACCTGCAATATTTTTTTTTGTGGTGTGAAGCTAATAAAATGCTGGACGATCATTACACAAAACCAAATAATAAGATTAAAGTAATAAAAATGAGATACTGGTACCAAAGAAATTAAATTAACCCCTGCAATGCAGATTGAGGTGATTAACGAACTGTAGAACTTGGTTTAGGAGATTACAGTACACTAGAAAAATAAATATTACCAAATGTGGGCCACTATCTTTTTGATCGTCCCTCTAAATGGTAACAAAATGAAAACTTACTCCCTCAGAAATATTTTCCATCCGTTTCGGCAAATGTTCGAATCAGACTAAATAGCGAATTAGCAAGTTAAAGGTCGCATTATGAGTGGATGAAGTCCGAAATAGGCACATCTTCGAATCATATTACTTCGGACTGGCAGGATGAAGTGCACATTAGTCAACACGAGTTTGTTACAGTAGGTGAAGTAGGCCTGTTACAGCGACAAGGAATAGGTATTTTGCTCAAACTGGAAACAAATTGCTGCTAGGAGTGCTAAATTTAGTGAGAGACAAGGCGTGTAGTACTATAGTTTTGAATTTCACTGAATCATTCGTAAAGTTCTGTTAACATGATACCACCTACACACACTTAAAAATGTACACATGTCACCTCAGTTGACGCTTCGCTTCGTATATTTCCAAGTTGAGGTGCCAAGGCTCTGGCCTTCGGCCGTTGCGATTTATGTAAAAATGACCTAGTATGTTCAACGCATAATTTCCAATGCATTTTCTTGACAATTACGGTTCTTCTCCCTAATCGTAACGAACCAGAAAGAATCAGCTCCCTTCCGCTCATATTGTATGACAAACGACAATACTTGCGAGCGGAATCGTGTCGTACTAATAACCTCAAACTTTCAAGGCGTAGTGACGCTTCGTTACACATGTCCATTTTCACACCAGCCTTCGGTCTATTGGATTAACACTTCTAAGTCTGTACAACAAATAATTTCTAATGCATTTTATTCCAAAGTACTTTTCGCCGAACTTGGCAACGCCGCACTGACGCTGCGCGAGACAAAGTTGTTGTCGTGACTCCGGCAAATATGAGCAATATGAAACATGCTTGGGCCTTTCCAGCGCATTTTATGCCTTAATATTTTCAATTATATAAAACGCACCATTCTCATTCTCTACGAAACAATGACCTCGTTCCTATCCTTCGTTTTTCGCTTTCATTCACCGATCTCGCGACGTCCAAGTTGACTGAGCACTATAAGAGATATGACCCCAAAATACTACTTCTAAACACAAGACGTCTCACACTCGGAGAATCATCTTACTTTAGTCAGCACTATGTGGCTAAAGCCAAACACAAGCTGGTGTTTGAAATGATCCGTTTATCGTGAGAACGTAGGCTTCCCCGGCCGGAGTCAGTATTTACCTTCGCCATGGACGCGGCGTCACCCGGACAGCCTAGTAAATAATAATAGATCCGTTTATCGTCATTTAAGCACTCTGGCTAATATACGAATTAATATACTATTTCGTGAATTAGACAAAAATTAGGCACGAAGTCCCTGGAACATTTTCAAATTATCAAAAAAATGGCTCCAAATTTTCTCTTTAAATGTTTTGTAAGAATAGAGTAAAATACACTTATTAAGATGACGTACACGTAAGTCCGATTTTCACTGTTAACTCTGGACTTATGAAAATTACACACGTGCAATATTGAGTATAACATGTGCAATATAAAAAATGTCAACACAAATTTTTCAAAAAATGGCCCCAATTTTTTCTTGAAACGTTTGGTAGCAATAGTTCTAAATGTACTGTATAAAATTAAAACGCCATATTGCTGCATTTTTGTTGTTGTTTTTCAAAATTACAAAATTGTAATTTTTTGACACCTTTCTCACGCCGTTAATATTCACATTACGGCGATTTACGTACATTATTGTATTTATGAATTCAAGTGCTTCCAAGTTTCTCAAAAAATCAAAAGTGTTCTGAGAACATGAGATCAGAGTTCTGAATTTTTCCAGAAAAGCAGGAATGCAATTTCTCGAAAATGGCTCTAATTTTTATCTTTAAATTTTTTGAACGGATAGTGCTAAATGGATTGAATAATTTGACATAAATGCCACTTTGACGTATTCTTTTGTGTTTTGTGTAGAAATATGTACATTATTGCATTTGTGAGTACAATTGCTTTAAATAATTTCTTGTGAAGTTTCTCAAAAACGCATATGTTGGGTGATAATGAGTTTCAAAATGTGCATTATCAGAAACGATCAAACATTTTCACAAAAACCGCTTCAAATATATGAAAAATTACGTGTAATTTTATGTTATCACCAAAAAGGTTTTAGTGTGAATTCTGAATGGCGTATCTTGGCTACTTCCCAAGGAAAAGGGCATTGGCGACATTACCAAAAGTTCGGCTACGCGAGGAATTCGGCAACCAATTCATGATCCAATTATGGCACCACAGAAATTATTTGAGAGGGTAAAATGTTAGTGATATTCACTTTATATTTTTGACAATTGATGACTACAAAAAAGAATATGACTTATTGAAATCCCGGTAAGAAAAAGTGAAACTAGGTATACAAAAATACACTTTCGTGGATCTATTATTTTATTAACTTTTGTAAATGTGTATTTATGAATGAATATCAACTTTAACTACTACTTCTACAATTCAACTACTCATTCCTAACATTCTCATTTTAATGATAAATATACTGAGTACACTTGGCTTCATAGGGCGCGAACCTGGATGCCGCTCATGCTGGAAGTTTGATTGGGAATGTTAATTTATTGCAACTGCATTTATACATAACCCGCTCTGAAATTTTGCACAATCATACAATATAAGGGAAGGAATTTAGTGATTTTTTATATTTATAAAATGTGCAAACTTAAAAAAAAAATAAGGGTAAAAAACCACGAAAAATAATTAATTTCACTGTTTATACAATTTGAGTTCAAATATAATAAAATGTGTTATAATCTATAAAATGAGACTAGTTTGAATTCTTTATTTTTTTAATAAAAGAGATATGAGCATTTATATGTCAGTTCGCGCGCTAGTTTGCAATTTTTAATTTCGAATTACTCTAAAGGTATACGATTTGAATGATAAAAAAAAATTAAAATACACGTGAGAGTTGTTTTTGCTATTAGAATAGATACACAAATTTTCAAAATTATCAACTTCAAATTTTCGTCGAATTTGTTCGATTTGACGTTGAATGACTTATACAGCATCTGGGAAGAGGACTGGCAAAATCGAAAAGCTAGCCCAGACCAAAGAAATTTGGAACCGAACTAGTACGAGAAAATCTGTCATTCTGTAGCAACACTGTATTATTACGCCGATTTTATGGCTGTTAATAGAAATAACTTAATTGTACTTTTGAACTTATTTTAAATTTTGCCCTTTTTTGCCTATTTTTGCTTTGGATGTCTATTTTAAGTATTTTGCCTTGTGCGCGCGTGTGTACCTGTAAGCCTCAAACACGAAGTCGCTGTCGCGTTTTGTCTTTCTCAGCGAAAAGAGACTCCAGATCCAGAAACCCTTAAAATATAAATGAGAAAAGAAGATAATACCAGTCTAGATTCATATTTCATAGATACAGCGTTGCGAGTGAAACAAATCCGCAGTCATCATACCGGACTGCTCATGTGTAATCAAGTTACATAGAAAAGACCGTTTTCTTCCATATAAGTGCTGATGTAATTTTTAGAGTTACAATAAAAAATTGAATCATTTTTATGATAATTTTTTACAATAATTATTTTTAAATCGTGTTTTTTTCCATTGTTTATGTGTCTTTTTGCAGCCCTACTTAAGCCAGAATAAGTGTCATTTCGCAGGCCTTTTTCGGTAAAATAAATGTCTCTATTTTCGAGCTCTACAGATAATGAATCTTACAAACGCTCTTAATTTATGTTTTTTAAATTGTACGTACATGGAATTTAAACTATGAATCGTGTGGTGATAGTGGTCGAGAGGTTTGACAAATTACCTCCCGCTATGTTGTAGGACTGATAGTCTTAAATGGCACTGGCAAGTATACTAAACAGCAATGATAACTATTCAGTATGTTAGTACCTCTTTTGCCTGTGTAACGTGAATACCTATCACCTCAGATAGACACCTATGACAGCACATAACTGCAAGTAAGTGTAAATAAGTAGCCAAAAGAAGAGTAAATAAAATTTTTCTTTATTTCCGCAACAATGTAAAAAATGTAATGTACAATTTTGTGAAGAAAAAAATATTTGTTTCGTAAATTGTTCCTGAAATTAATGAAATGAAATTAATGAAAAAATAATTGATAAAAAACATTTTCTCAAAAACCGTTTCAATTTTTTTCGTTATTTTTTACGTATAATACATTGCACGCTTAAAAGAATGGTGATGTTCGCATTTTCTTTAAACTAACTGAATTTTCGAAAATTGCGTGGAGATAATGGGGAAAATATAGTCTTTGAAGCGTCGGACCAAGTAAGTACGTCAGATCGACAACGTGGTGTACCGGTTCTGAGAGTTAATATGATGGATCTGAGTTTGAGTTAAGGCCTGGAAGTAATTTTATGCTGATTTAACAATTTTGAAGGTTGATGTACTAGTACAATATTGCGGAGCAGTTATACATAATGTAAGAAAGTATGTCCTTTGGTAGTGCCATTTTACAACTATTTTATTTATGACACTTTATATATGTCACCATTATTTTATGTATGACACTTTTCTTGTGCACTGAATACGCATCATTTTGGAATATAGAACCGGGCGAGCCTCCGCTGCCTTGTCGCCGCCGAGTCCTTGGGAAAAGGACGCGCAACCGATCACGAAACAGTTCGTTCAACACACACAGAGAGAAGCGGATTAACACCTTTGTCGCCAATAGGCACGTAAAAATTACCGCCTATTTTTATCAAATATCCCAGGAAAACAAGTTACAAATAACAAATATCATTTACGTTTAAAAACTGGACACCCATATTTATGACTAAAATTAAATATAATTTAATTGATAATTTATTTAATTCAATTTCGCGTTCAATTTTTTTTCTACGAGAAGTCAATTATTTTTTAATTGTATATTTTGATGTAGATATAACATAAATTCATCATGCTTTTTGTAGTTATGGATATTTATTATTTTACCGTTGTTCTTCCATTAATTCTTACAATAACCTATTTATATACATTTAATATGATGATTAATATAAAATAAACAAGACATATTCAAACACATTATCAAAATTACATGTATTTAAATACGTGTTATTTCTAAAACTTATAATAATAGTAATTTATGTCAATGTAACCTGACGCATTTTCGGTAGTAGTAATCAAATCTTAATTATATGACTTCTGAAAATGTTAACATTGCTCATTGTGACTTATCACAAATCTTATAGTAGAAGATATTACCAGCCAGTTAATAAATAATTTTTGAGTATTTAATCACTTTGCTTAAAAACCTCGTTCAATAGAAATACAATAAGAAAAACGAAAAAAACGCGCGCGATAATGAATAAACCCTCTAGACACAATTTTGGTCCCCAATCTTTGCCGCCCATAAAAGTTTGGCGCCGTAGACACTGTGTGGCGCCGTAGGCCCCGCCCCTGTATAGCACATGCCATGGCTACACAGGCACGGCTTTTTTCTCACGGAGACCAGTCGCGTAGACACGGCAGGATGATTAAATGTACCACTCAGTTTAAACACAAAAGACCCAACTCGAAAGCCATCTCGCGATTTACATTTTGGAGAAGAAAAGTTTAAAAATTATATCAAACCTAAATGTCATTAAACGCCCTTAAGACAAAATGTTAATAAACAAAATTCTAATAAAAATATTTATAAATCATTACAAATATGCTGAAATATCCTCAATTAGATTTTGTGTTTTGACTCCCAACAACAAGAAATAAATTTGGTACTTTTCGCATATCATTATATTAAAAGAAACTAGTGGAGCTACATAATGACACAGACTTGTTAGTATTAGTTTTCTATTTTCTTTGGTCTGGGCTTTTATTTATTTATTTATGTCAAAAACAGTTAAAACTGTGTGTGACGTGCTATGAGGAGAACGTAATTTGAAGTTACATTTTATGTCCAGAAGCAAAACAAGGTGCCTTCACAGCATTTACTCAAGGATCAGGGAAACTGGACGAAAACGTGATCGAGATGGCGGTCATTGACCCAGAAGCTGAATGTTTTTGCGGGTTGTTACAGGTTCTTTACAATTATACAATCCAAGTGGTAAATAATACATTAAATGTTATTGTTAACATTAATATTACTTTCCTTTTGGA